GTGGATGATATTACGGCTTGGTAAGGAGGAACAGCGTTATTGCATACGGAAACAAAAGTTCGATGAGACATATGTATATTCTACCTGCCTATGTCATGACTAGGTGTAAGCTGCAACACAAACATGGTTAAACAAGGATGGTTAGAATCACGAATCAGCGTTAGTGACGAGATAGTGGGAAAAAAGATCCGCCGAGAAGAAAAATGGAGAAAATAAACGGCCCAGGGGGGTCATCCCAAAAGGTAACCACGAAACGAGCTTGTGTGAGGAAATCGTAAAGGTCGATCAGCCGTCTTATGTTCCAGGCTTCCTTAATAGGATGACTCCTCCGGGCCAGCCAATGCTCACCAGGTGAGCCGGGCACATGGTCTGGGAGCAGCCCTCTTTGGGGATGAGAGCAGCCCTGCCTCAAGAGGGTCGGGACGCGGCCGCTGATTCGCCGAAGCCGAGAGTCATCCAATCTTACCCAACAGGCGATTACTCTCACCAGTCACGGTACTTCTTCATACGAGGTGACGAGGGTGGGCTTTGCCTGAATAGGCTTTGTGTATGTAATAGTATTGGGTGCACTCGGGCAGAGCGTGGGACGTCTCAGCAAGAATGGAGACTGCCTGTGCCAAAACGTCCAGCACGTTTTCGCTGCCAAGTGTACCTCAAACCACGTGCTGTCGCCCAAGAGAAGTGCAGTGGATATATTGGGTAACTGGCGCTGCACGGAGCAGGTACGAACGAACTAGCGCGCATTTGTAAGTGCTGTCGACTCGCTGGCTACAGGGCAACAGGGCTCTAGAAGGCGGCTCTGGAAGCCTTTAGCGCACGTCACTAGCCAAGGTTGAATCGCCTCCACCGAGAATTGAAGGAAATGGGAAAGGGACAGACAAGCTGGGACCGGTCATAGGCCAAACACCATGGTGAATAAGCAGGGGGCGCCTTAGCTTTTAGCCTCCCGCGCACTGGCGTGAACCAAGACAGCATTGAAGATTCGCTGCAGAACCTGGCAGTCACATCTCAGATTACCTTACCACATCCAGCTACCAGGTAGGGCGCTGCAGAGGCGCCATGTCTCATCTTACCACCACTGGCAGCATGTAATACGATTCTGCAGCTGGGACTGATCTGCCTCAGGAGGGCGCCCTGTCCGTTGTTTGGCTGTCCCTTGTCCCGCTGCACAGGCCCAGGGGAGTTCCACGCTAAAGCCGAAGCGGGAGGTGTGTGGTCCAGAAGCCGTGTTTGCCGGCTTCGATTTGCCTTCCACTCGTCGTCACAGCTTACTGTAGCCCACGCTTCCTCCAGGCAGCCCCCCTCCCGCTCCATCCATACATGCGACTCTGGTGTGGCCGCATGAGGGGCTACAACCACTCGTTTGGCCCATGTGCCTGCCATTGCGGGCCCCAAGCCACTGCCTTTGGTGGCCTCTGGCTGGAATGTGCATTTCCACTCGCAGTTAGTACCTAGACATTGATTAATCCATCCCATTTAGCTTTATTTTCTTTCTCTCGTTGATGTTCTGTCGTCTGAAATCAACACTTTATTTTTACCTCTGCTCGCGTGTCGCACATTCGCCCTTTACAAATCCCTGGGTTGTTGGCTGTCCATCCTCCCATCACCCCCGTCCATCGCGAAATCCAGACATCCTGCTGCGCTTCCTGACGGATCCATCTGCACGGCTCCAGCGGCGCATGCACCTCCACTAGGCCAAATTGCCGAACCTGAGACCGAACCACGGGCATATTTGATATTTGATCTAGTCTCGCCAAACGCCTCCCGTTTACCTCGACGCCTGTCCGACCTCGACCGAGAGTTCCATCGTCGCGCAAGTCGCAAAGAGAGAATCGCTGTTGTGCGTGGGAGAAAGATCGTGGACACCACTGACGTCGTGGGAGAGAACTACCAACCGAATCGCACGCAGGGCTCGAGCCGTCGGCATTTCCCTATCAACATCTGCATTTACATCTCGAGATCTAGTTCCACGGCTTCCGATGCAATTGTGAGGAGTGCCTCTCAGCACTTGGACGGCGACAACACTTCCTCCATCGCCTCATGTTGTCGCCGTGTGCCCCCACTCTTGTCGGTTTCACTCTGTAATATCGTCACTCGCATCCAACATCTGGTATCCTTGGATTACGATTATGCAAAATGTCAGCCTCTATAGATGAGATGCTCCCCGGGTCGGGGGTCTTTGTAAATCCCCAGCAACGACTCCGCAGTAATGGCGGAAATGGCGCCTTCCACAACTTCTATAACGACTACTCCCACATCCAAGACCCCAACCTTCGAAGACGATTAGCACTATCAGAAATCGACAAAGTTCCTTTTGGAAAGTACCGTACGTACCCTTCTTTCATGCCGGGCTTGGCGTTCTCGTCTTGGCAATACTAACATTGGGACCATTCAGATGTCCGTGCCGTCCTGGTAGCCGGCGTCGGCTTCTTCTTAGACTCTTATGATATTTTCGCAATTAACTTAATAACTACACTCCTCGGTTTGGTTTTCTGGGGAGGTGGTGATCCCGCCGATGGATACGGAGGTAATAATGGCCTGTTACCAGACCCAGTCAACCAGGCTCTGAAAGCTTCAACCAGCAGCGGCATCATTATTGGACAGATCCTATTCGGATGGATGGCCGAGTGAGTTACACCCGTTGCATCTGTTCTCCCTTTCTTTGAGTCTCATAGCTGATTCATTTTTTAGCGCTTATGGCCGACGAAAAATGTATGGCTTTGAACTAGGTCTCATCATCTGGGGGACCTTCAGTTGCGCCATGGTCAGTTCTAGTCCGGCCATCAGTTCTACCGCTGTGATGATCTTTTGGAGAGTCGTGATGGGCATTGGAATTGGAGGCGACTATCCCCTCAGTTCAGTTATTACCGCCGAGTATGTGTCAATCACTGAACGCCACCTGCTTCCCTGTCCTGACTAACATTGTTGAACAGGTTTGCTCCAACCAGATGGCGAGGCGCAATGGTAGCAGCCGTCTTTTCAATGCAAGGAATGGGCCAGCTTATCTGTGCAATGGTTGCGCTAATGACCGCTATCGGGTTCAAGTCGCACTACGTCAATATCCCAAATGAGTCCTTGTGCGACAGTGCTTGTCGTCTAGCTGCCGACCGATCCTGGAGAATTATTGTTGGCGTTGGCGCTATCCCCGCCTGCCTTGCGCTTTATTATCGCATCACTATCCCTGAGACGCCTCGATACACCTTCGATGTGCAATTTGATGTGGAGAAGGCCGATGCTGATATTCGGGCCTATATGTCAAGGAAATCTATAGACTCTGTCTCCGTCACTGGGGCAAGCCCTCTTGCAGCACATCACTTGCCCTCTCAGAAGTTAAACATGCCCAAAGCTTCATGGGGTGATCTCTATGAATACTTCAAGTCCTGGCGTCATCTGAAGGTCCTCCTTGGCACTTCCCTCTCATGGTTCTTTCTGGTAAGTTCAGCGAAAGCGGCTTGTATTTCAATCCATCACTAACCTCCCGAAGGATCTCGCATTTTACGGCCTCGGCCTCAATAACACTATTGTTCTTCATGCCATCGGGCACGCTGACGGCTCAAATCTTCACCAAAAGCTGTTTAACCAGGCTGTGGGTATGATTATCTTGGCATGCGCGGGCTCGATACCTGGCTACTGGTTTGCCGTCTTCACCATCGACACATTTGGGCGCAAGTCACTCCAGATCATAGGCTTCCTCCTTCTCACAATAGTATTCGCCATACTGGGCTTTAAACTCCACGACATGGGTGAGAACGCGCTCCTCGCACTCTACATTGTTGGCCAGTTCTTGTTCAACGCTGGGCCTAATACCACTACATTCATTGTGGCTGGTGAGTGCTTTCCTACACGCTACCGTTCGACTGCACATGGTCTATCCGCAGCCATGGGGAAACTTGGTGCCATCATTGCACAAGTCATCAGCATCCCGATGCTCAACAAAGACTCTCCACCGAACTGTAAGGGTAACGCCTGTTCTCCGCACCTCGACAAACTTCTCCAGATGTTTGCTCTCTTCATGTTGCTCGGAACTTTGGTCTCCTTCCTCATTCCGGAAACAAAAGGCTACACTCTGGAAGAACTCGCCGGTGAGCCGCGCACCAGCTATAACGCTGGCCGCAATGGCAGCATCAGCTTCGGCACCAACAGCCATCGTCCTTTGTGGAACCCGTTCGGTGGTGGCCAGCCCGCAGGATTCTTTTATCCTCGCTCCAAGGAGACCATATTTACCACCAACGATGCCCCCGGTAGCAATGGTAACAACGACCGTCACCGCCGGCCGTCTCACAATACTATCACAAAGTTGCCCCGTACCCTCGACAGCGTCCGCCAACGCAGGTCACATCTTTGGTGGAGGAGGCGGAGAGCTCAGAATGATGCGGGCAGGAATGAGGACATTACTCTTGGCAGCCGCAGCTCCTCTGATGTCAGTCACCAGCACCACAATGTTGGCGTTGTGCCCGAGGAAACAAGCCCCATGTCTTCGCCTGCGGTACCTCCCGCACTTTCTCCCATCTCCCCAATCTCTCCAGTGCAACAGCAGGCTGTACCAACTTGGGGTGCAGGCTGGGGACGCATCGATCGAGGAAGACGACCGCCTCAGATCGATGAGGTACAGCTGCAAGATGTCGGGTCTCTGCTCAACAAGAGCGTGTAAATACTAAAACTTGGTGTCCGTATGTATTCCTTTCTTGGGAGGACTTTTGATGATAAACGTTTGTTTTCTTGGTTTTCTTTTCGCGTTGGAGTTCAGGAAGATTCGCATGGCAAGCCACATTGGGCCAGCATTTGTACAATGATACCTTATAGACAATGGGCGGGTTAGGCAGGGGCAGTAATGCACTCACTGCATATGGATAACTCAATGAAGCAAAGATATTATGAAATCGTAGCCAATCACAGCACCTCTTTCCGATGCAGGCGTTTTTTGGTGAGTAAGGCTGAAATGCAGGTGCTGACTTGGCCCTTCCTGAGCAGATTCTTCTCCTCATCAACCGTCCGTAAAGATGGACAGAATCGTCTGCTCGGAGGCGCATCTTTGCACAAATTGCCTTGCATTTATCAAGGCTATATCCTCACGTTTTCGCTCTTTCACAACCACTGAATTGTCTAGATATGAAGGTCCAGGACTCTGGCCGCCCTCAATTACCTGTTGGCTCTGTAAGATGCTTAACAGCGCCGACGCGGCAGAATTTCGAATGACATCATGGTGGCAGGAGAAGTTTAAAAACGACTCAATTATAATCAGATATTTTTATACGCATAGAGATGCCATAGACGCTTACAGTGATCTAGGCCATTTATCGGGAGTCAGCATCTATGCTGATCGTGGACACTATGGGCTCGTGATCGGTTTTGCCATTTGGTGCGACGATGGTAAGTCTTTGCCTTTCATTCATTTCCCAATATTTCATATGACTCATGAATCCCAGACACGTTGGAGATCGTACAGGATCCACCGCTACCTTCAGATAATTGCCCAGAAGCGTTTGCTCTTGTCACAAAATGGCTTCGGGGGTGCTGTTTTCACCATCAGCAATGTTTAAAGACTAGATCCGGCCTTGTCGTCGACGAAATCCATGGTCCAACACTCCCTACGAGAGTGTTGGATATCAGTAAATGGGATGAAGGGATTGTATCTCTCATCGAGAGTAACGGTCTGAAAGGAAACTTCTGTGCCCTGAGCTACTGTTGGGGCAAAGGAGCCCATGGCATGGTCACGACCCGCGAGACGATTGCGGACCACTGTGCCGGGATAAAAATCGACCTTCTCCCGCAGACTTTCAAAGATGCGATTCAGCTAACGTCTGAAATCGGCATCAACTATCTTTGGATCGATAGCCTCTGTATTGTTCAGGATGATGATGAAGACTGGGGAAAGGAAGCAGGTGACATGGCAAATGTTTACCAACACGCATTCCTGGTCATTGCAGCAGATGGGGCTTCTCATTCTAACGGAGGCTGTTTTGTGCAGCGAGATGTTTATCCAAGCGCCGTTAAGCTACCGTTTTATAATGCCTCGGGCCAGATATGCAGCTCCTTCTGGCTTTCAATGGAAATGAAACAAGGTTTAGACAAAATCCCCGCATACGGGTCTTTACAACAGCGGGGCTGGGCTCTTCAGGAAACATACCTTGCTCGTAGATCAATTCATTTTATGCCTGGAGGAATGAGTTGGGAATGTCAGTGTATGAGTTCGGATGGGAGAAGGTGGACGAGCCAGGATACAGATCGCGAAGATTGGAACGTCATCCTGGAAAACTACTCACGCTGCAAGCTTACTTATCAGAAGGACCGCCTTCCTGCCATCCAAGGGCTGGCGAGCGTTATGGAGAAAAGGAAAGGGGTTGCATATCACATGGGGATTCTTGATGTCGATATCGAAAAACAGCTTCTATGGGTACTGAAAGAGGTTGCGTTGCCACCAGACACCTTAGATGGTGTTCCTTCCTGGTCCTGGGCATCCCAAGGAGGACCGAAGTCATTTGTCACAAACATATTCTTCGGAGGCGAACTCTCAAGCGAAACAGCAATGAACTTAGTGGTGGAGGCAAATGGGGGTATTCGGTTTACTGGCAATTTGGGGAAGTGTGATATTCGCGAACATCACCTTACATTCGTCGATATGGATGAAGAAATAATGGATGATGAGGATAGAGAAATATTTGAGGAAGAGGATGGAGAAGTATTTGAGGATGACCATAAGCCATACAAGTCTCTGCTCGATTGGCTCCTCTATCATCTTCTTTCAAGATACGACTTGCAAACTATGCATGGTCAAAATCCAACCTCGCAGCCTATTGGCTTTGCCGCTCCGGATGAGCTATACTCTGGGAGTTGTTCTATTGCCTTTCTTTGTGAAACGGAGTGGGGTGCCATCAATGCTCTGGCAAATAGGTATAAAATTCGGCTCCCGCATTACCAAGTCATCGACTAACATTTTCAAGATACAAAAGACTTCATGAGTTCTCATCTCTGTCAAACCATCCAAGTCGCCGGGTATGTTTGTACTACAATTTCAAGAGTGTGATGATTCTTCTAACTCGAGATACATTATTCAGCTGCATTGGGTATTGCTTTTGACTCCTACTTCCGAGCATGAGAATGCGTTTCGGCGGGTCGGGGTCGGTGCTGTTTGGCGTGATCCGGAGCATGACGCCACGGGAACACAGAAGGTTACGATTGACCTAGTGTAGGAATCAGCTTAGAATCGTCGGGCGTGATGAATATCAATCCCAGTGGTGTGGATGCAGACAATGTCCTGAGACACGGTTTCAAGAGCCAGCTGTTTGACCATCGGACGAATTAAACTCAACAGAGGCAAGTCTCGGGCATCTTATACGTAAATCCATGCCGATGTTTATCGATTTTTCGTTTTATCATCATGTATTTCATCACGATCTTGGGGTTTATACTTTGTTGATTGTTGATATGATGCTCTATCTAACACTTGATAGACCAAGTGCCAGATAATTGAGCCGGGGGTTATCATCTTTCTAACGCCAGGTATCTACCGTCATCAGAAAGTATTTAGGTCCACACAAGAAGAGAGGCGTGACTTACTTGCCATCTATCTGGTGTGGTGGATATTAGGCCATTGGCCATGCTCCCAAGCTTATACAAAAGGTGGTGCTCCACGGTCATGCTCGTTGATAGTGCGCAAGCTGAGCGGCAAACGAGCATGTGCCTTGTCCTCTCTTGGTAGGTCATCGATGAAAGTGTCTCCATGGGAACGTTCTTGGAAAGTCGTTGCCAGCGTTGTTTTCCACTTGTCGCTCCAAGCGCCGTAGAGCGAGGGAAGATCATGCCCAATCAAGCAACTGTGCCAGAACCATGCCGTGCTACGGGCACTTGATTCTCGAACCCTGTCCGTAGGTCCGCTTAGAGTTGCAGTGGCTGGCACACTTGGCGCGGGGCAGGAGTTTAATCGACACGGCCTTCGATACAATGCCCTCTTGAACAACATGGCTATCCCATCGAATCCCTGACCTTTTTCTTACCTGCTACAAGGAGAAAGGCACATGGCATCACTTCCTCTCGCTCGTTGAGGAAGGGAGGCGCGATTTCAAGCCACCATATAATCCCTCCCTTCACCTCGTTCATGCCACCATCTCGCTCGTTCTCTGGTTGCCCTACCGCATACCTCTGTGTATTTTAAATTGAGATTTAACACTTGCCGGTGCGATTTGAAGCTAAGACATTGCTCCGGACACCATAGCAGGCATGATGATGCTGCTGCTCTACGGTCTCGTCGCTCTAGCAGCGAGAGTCTGCGCGCAAAGCACATGCAATGGCTACGAGGCACTCTGTGATCGGAAATACAGCAGCATCACATTCGCCGCGGCGCATAATGCTGCCTTTGTCGGCAGAGGGCCGTTCCATAACCAGTACCAATACCCAGAGGTGGCCATGAGCAATGGCATCCGCTACTTTACCACCCAAGTCCACATTCAGGATGGAGAAATCCGCCAGTGCCACACGGACTGCGCATTTCTCAACGTGGGAGCCTTCTCCGAGATTGTCACTTCTATCAAGACGTGGCTGGACGCCAATCCTAGGGAAGTCGTGACCCTGCTGATTGGGAACGGGGATGACGCAATCCAGATTGAGGAGTTCAAGCCCCATTTTGAGGCATCAGGAGCTCAGGATATTGCGTTCGTCCCGGGTACCAAGCTGGGGCTCGATGATTGGCCGACTCTCGGCGAGATGATTGATTCTGGGAAGAGACTTGTTGTGTTCATGGGTAAGTACAAGAAGCCGGTTTGACAGGCAAACAGTAGCAAAGAGCTAATACGGCATGGGTGATACTGGTCAGACTATTACTCCGATACTTCCAAGGTTCCATATATCCTTCCGCAGTTTGACTACTATGTGGAAACGCCGTTCAGTCCAACGGACGATAATTTCTTCAACTGTGATGTGGACCGGCCCAGCAAGAGCACGCCTGCGGACGGGCGAATGGTCTTTGCCAACCACAATCTGAACGAGGAAATCGCAGGTATTCTGATTCCCGATCAACTACATGCCTCGCAAACGAATTCGCAGGGCAACATCCGGCAACAGACCGAGATTTGTCTAAGCAATTACGGACGCAACCCGAACGTCGTCTTGGTATGTTCTCGATAACCCCAGCACCTGCAAGACAAAAGTACTGACCAGATGTTTGATGTAGCTGGACTTTGTCTCGGAGGGAGAGGTGATTGCTGCGCAGAAGACGCTGAATGGACTATGAAAATATTGCAATGATGATAGTATGAATTTACGATCGATGAAATGATTGCTGCTCAGTTGATTGATTGATGGTTGTGACAAGCAAGGGCATCCATCACATGTCAGGTAAGCGCACCGATGATAAGCCTACCTGATACACAAGCACCTTGTCGCATGGTTCATCCCTGCGACAGCGATGGTTAAAAGCAACAGCAAAAAAAATAATCCACTGCCCTCTCCGACGAGGGTCGGATGCAGGAGGCATGAATCACCCGATTAAAGCCAGCCACCACTTTCCTGTATCCGCATGGGGGAGTACGATTATTTCGCATGTGCGCGGCTGTTGGCAAATCAAATGTGACGCGAATAACTTATCAGCTCGTCTCTTCCGCGCTGAGCGATGATCACGTTGATCGATGACGTTCGCTCGGAGCTAACCAAGCTCTCGGGCCATTTTGGTGGGAAAAAGTTCAATAGCTCTCAAGGTTGGTAGAACATGCAAGTTGTAGCACCTGGGCGGGCATCCGATCCGGGCTGGTTGCCTGCCCAGCTGCTGGTGCCGTTTCAGCAGGTTCACCCCACCCGAGGACCGGTTACGTAGTGGCTGGACTAGCGCTGTGGTTCGCACGGAGGGCGTCTTCAGGGCCACAGCCACCAGCCTAAAGATTGGTCGCGGGCTCTCCGATGGCTCCCAAGATCCAGGCCACAGTGCATGCGCCCAGGCCCTAGCTTAACTGCTGACCTCACCGCTGTCATCCATTTGCTTCTATTCAGTCACCTCCGCACCGTCATCCCTCTTTCCCTCCTCCAAATCCTCCGAAATACATACATACACCCTCTTCTTGGCCCACCTCCGCTACCTCACCACTATACTTCTGTCGCATCGACGCCGTTTCTTAAAGAATCTTTTGTACTCAGACTCGTTCAGCCATGGCTCCTCAGCCGAATCCCAACATGCCGCTGCAGGAGCGGTTGCTCGCCTTGGCCAAGACCTTGCAGTGTACGTGGTCTCTTGCCCCTCCGAGGATGGACTCTCCCAACACACCATTTCCCGCGCCGCAGATGTGTCGCGCATTCTTCAATTGCTGCAGAGATCTCTATAGATTCATTAGCTAACAAATTTACCCTTCCAGTCGCTTGGTTCGCTGGGTAGGTTTCAGGCCTCTCTCTTTTTCTTTGTCCAGATATCCGACAACCTCAGCTCCAGCCGAAAATCCCCACAATCGTTCCGACCAGCCACCTTGATCGGATTTGCGAAACATCCAGATACTTGGACCACGAGAATATTGCAAAGATGATCCCGCTGACCTGAAACCCATCCTACTAGTCACTTCACGCTTATTCTTACAACCCTGCGCTACTCGCTCTCATGGCTGCGCATGAACTACTATGGCGGCATGGCCCAGTTCTGCTACCGCACCTCGTTTGTCGCCGCCGCCCTCACATACGGCATCGTTGTCTACAAGACCCAGCGCGCTCGTGCAAAGACCGGCAACAAGCCTCCTGGTGGCGCCATTGCTCTCCTTGCTGATGAGAATGTTCAGTATCTAGGTGCGTTTCCCCTCATCACGCCAGCCGAGGAACCCTAGCTAGGATAATTGGGCATGTTGCTAATCAGTGATGTGGATTACAGTTTTGGCCTTGATCTGGCTCTTCTCCCCCCAGTACCCCCTCGCCCTCCTTCCTTACTCCGTATACTCGATCTTCCACGTTGCGACCTACACACGTGCCAACCTGATCCCCACCATCCAGCCTCCCCCCGCTGCCGCTGATGGTGCTTCCCCCAAGCCCCGAGCTAGCAACCCTTGGGCTGATAGGATTGGCGCCTTTGTGAAGGAGTACTATGACTCCTCCATGTCTGTTGTCGCTCTCCTTGAGGTTCTCCTCTGGGGTCGCATCCTGCTCGCTGCCATTTTCTTCCAGCGCAGGTCTTGGATCCTCATTGTTCTCTACACTGCATTCCTCCGCGCGCGCTACGCCCAGAGCTCGCACGTGCAGACTGCCTTCGTCCAGCTCTCCGCCCGCATCGACTCCGCAGTTGGGTCACAAAACACTCCCCCCGCTCTTCGCCAAACCTGGGATACCGTGAAGAACGTTGCGGTCCAGTTCCGCGACATCACCGATGCCAGCAAGTACCTGCAGGGTGCTCCCGCCAAGAAGACCTCGTAAGGTCTTCGCCGACATAGGCCTTGGACGAACGAATGCGTCGGTGCCATGGCCAGACGGTCTCAAGCTCCGTCGTTCAACGAGGGGGCCTGGTATTGGTTCCGATGGTTAATGATGAGCTGGAAGAGAGATAATGGATAACGCTTTCTTCCGAATTACGAAGCTGGGGACTAGGGATCAGACGACCCCACCCCCTTGGCAGACTATGGGGGAAATCGTTTCACGAAATGGTTTAATCATCAGAAGCCATCCATGACTTTCTGGACTTCTCCTGGGTGTCCCGGGATGGGCCGGATGCCATGGGTGTCTTCTGTTCGAGGGGTCTGCTTATTTTTACATTTACAATGGAAGGATCGAAATGAATAGGCGGTACAAGAATACTTATTTTCTTGGTGAAAACTGTATGTTACGGGGAAATTCAATGGGGAAAGAAGGGAGAGGGCAAAGGGCACTGTGGCTGTTACCTCTGTATCTGCTGTTTTGAGGTGTAGACGGGGAAAGGTACTGGGGAGCCTGACGACTCAATTTCCTGGCTGGTGTTGGTTGTTTTCTTGCTTTCCGGGGTTCCTATCAACTAACGTCACCTTTTTTGTGTTTTGCGTCACCCGCCTCATCTCGATTCCGTGTGCTTGCTCTGCTCTTCGCCCCCTCTTGATGTGTCTTGTCCCCTTTGGTCTACTTTTTCTTTTTCTTTTTTTCTTTTTTTTTCACTAATGTGTGAGGCAATTTGTGGGATTGGAGACGGAAACCTGCATATGGAGCATGAATATAATTTCTGCAACAACGAGAATCAACCAGCCAACTCGCGTGTTTGGCGATCCTGGTGTGTGAAGATGGAGCCACATGCAACCTCGAGCTTGCCATAGAAGTGGGGCGCCTCATGACGTCGTCTCTTTGGGACTTCAGCTGGCAGTCGTGCCTTCCCTCGAGTCTTATCAACCTACTACCTAGGTACCTAAATTCATTCCTTTATTAAGCTCGGTCGCAAACAGATCGTTAAGGTGATTATGTAACTGGCACGCTACACGCTGGCCTTTTGTCCTAGCAAGTTCGTAGAGAGATGGCAGGTGGCAGTTGATTGCTCTTGCCGTTGCATGCGAGCTCCTTGGCAGGGCAGGCGCAACATGGCCTAGCCCATCGCATTTGTGATGGACCATGGGATGAGGCCTCATTAGTGAAAAAGGGTGGCCTTGGCGATCTTGGTTACCTGCGCACATCTGCAATTATTAGATTGGTCTTACTACGCCTTCGTCTGGCTGACAGCCATTGCCACCACTTGTTCAACACCCTGTGTCCCCATCGCTATTGAATGTGCCAGTAATTGGCCCAGGTGAAGCATGTTCTCCACGCCCACCAGCCGGATCTGATGTTAGCTCAGGTGCTCTCGCCCAAACCTGGCAAACCCCAACCCCAATCCCGTCATCCATTTCCTTCTTTCGAGGACCTTTCCAGCTGCGTTGCTGGCTACGTATACGACTTACGCTCGCTGTGGCTCCTGCTCCTATCCGCCCTCAAATCAGCCTCATCAACCGCTCTGTGCCTGGCAAACAACTACCTATCTATCGTCCGGCTACCCCCACACTCGGCTGCCTCCCAAGCGACTAACTTAACCCACCTGTCATTGTTCTCTTCATTTAGCCTCGCATCTTTCTCCCTTTCCTTCGTCATTCGATCACTCTCAAGCGCTCTCTCTTCTGGCCGCCGTCGCTGTTCCCAGAATTAACTCAATCGGCAGGCGACACCTACAATTCGCCGGCTACTTTCACAGGAGTTGGCTTTGCGCCTGTTTGATTGTGTGCGTGCATACATATCATCTATTATGTCATGGCCTCCCTTCTCAGACAGATTGTCGCAGGCCCGAGAACCCGCCACCCTGAAGCCGACTTAGATTTATGCTATGTGACTGACAACATCATCGCGACGTAGGTGGCCCCCTTGACAATTTTCGGTATATCATAGAAATGCCACAGACTTCCTTATCCTGTTGGGTGCACACCTCCTTTGTGTTGCTTGATATCTCCAGCTATTGCCCCGCTTGCCGCACTCACATCTATATTGCCTGATCTCATCTGACATTCGCACTATCTGCAATAGATCTGGTCCTTCACAAACATACCCACAGCGGGCGTACCGCAATCCCCTGGATCAGCTAGTCAAGTTTTTGGATTCCAAGCATGGAGACGACTGGGCCATCTGGGAGTTCCGCGCCGAGGGGACCGGATATCCCGACGAGGCCGTTTATGGCCGTGTGAGACATTATCCATGGCCGGATCACCACCCTCCGCCGTTCAGACTCATTCCTCTGATTATGGCCAGCATGAAGAATTGGTTCCGAGGAGGCGATTTGAATGACGAGTCTCCCGTCAAATCCGCCACCAAAGACCAGCAGGGTCTGGCTGCTGAAAGCAGCGACAAGACTACAGCTGCAACTACCACAATTGGTGCTCCTGCAACCAGTGATAGTAATTTAGAGGACAGGAAAACTAAAAGGGTGGTGGTTGTTCACTGCAAGGCCGGCAAGGGACGCAGCGGCACGGCGACTTGCAGCTACCTTATCTCCGAGGAAGGCTGGGACCCCGAGGATGCCCTGACACGATTCACGCAGCGACGGATGAGGCCCCAGTTTGGCGCGGGTGTGTCCATCCCCTCTCAGCTTCGATGGATTACCTATGTGGATCGGTGGACGCGTGGCGGCAAGAAATATTACGACAGGCCGATCGAGATTGTCGAAGTTCACGTGTGGGGTTTGCGGAACGGTGTCAAAGTGGACATTGAAGGGTTCGAGGATGAGGGGAAGAATATCCATGTGTTCCACACTTTCTCCAGGGATGAGAGGTTGGTAGTGGAAGGAAATGCACCTGACGGCTATGGCTGGAGCGACATGATGTGGGAGTTGGCTGGGTACTCTATGGACCCAAAGAGTCAGGACTCAGTAGAGGCACAGTTGCAACAAGCTTCTAATTCCGGGAAGAAGAATGGAGCAGCTCAAAAAGAAGAACCATCTGCCACCTCGGGCGACCATCACCATCATCATAATCCCAGGCACGCGGCAAAGCGCACAGCAACGCTCATCAAAATCGCCTCCGACACGTCGTTGCGCAAGCTCGGCAAAGACAAGGAGTCCAAGGTCGATACTGGACCAAAGCGACCCAGTTCATTGAGAAAAAGCTCCTCCAGTTCCAGCTCCTCATCTTCGTCTGAAGAGGATGAGGAAGAACCCGGTGGCATGGCTGTTATCCTCAAGCCCAAAACGCCCGTGATCATCCCCAACAGCGACGTCAACATCTCTGTCGAGCGGAGAAACAGAACGCGCAGGAGCCTTGGCATGACCATGGTGACGGCCGTCGGGCATGTCTGGTTCAACACCTTTTTCGAAGGCAGTGGGCCAGAGCAGGAGAACAGACCCAATGAAAGTGGTGTGTTCTCAATCAAATGGGACGATATGGATGGCATCAAGGGCACCAGCAGAAAGGGCACCAGAGCACTTGACCGCTTAGCAGTGGTTTGGAAATTCGCCGACACGCCAAGCACCCCAGGGATATCCGGGCCTCTGGGCGAGGAGGTCGTTGAACCCGCTGAGGGGGCGCCCGTCCCTCAAACAAAGCCCGCGGACTGGAAGGGTGCCAATGCATCAAACCAGAACGTAGAAAGAAATCTCGGCCTGCGAATGCAGAGCCCGGCAAGTGCGGACGTGAGCAAAGCTAGCAGCGTTGTGAGCGCCGATCTGCACGGAGCCCAAACCACTGATACTGCAGGAGCTAGAGACGGCGCAAAGGAGAAGCGAGTAGATGATGGCGATGAGGAGGATTCGAAGTCTTTAGTTGGCGTCAAGAGCAGTGGGCCTGGGGGTGGCACATTATCCGAGGACGAGAATACGGCAAAAGCACAAGAGAAGGAAGAGAATCCTGTTGCTCCTGCGATAGATGTATTGGAGAATCCTGACCGCGCCGATGGTACCACCCAGCAAGGTTCTGCTGAAGTCGTCGAGTCCAAGAAGTAAACCGACTGGCGATGCAAAGATCGGGTCGATGAGTGGCCGCGGTCGCTCGTTGATTGTTCATATAGTTTTGACTGGGGGTCTAATAAACATATCTCAAGATGATTACTTTTTCTGAATCGCCGTCGATAACCCATTTAGTGATTAGATCTAAACTCAACGCAAACTACTTTACACACCAGAGCACAACCCGAATTTCCTAGTATATATTCGCCGTCTAGAGATACTCTTTCCAGGCTGACCACAATGACGCTTGCCCAACAGAGGGTGTCGATCATGAGCCAGATAGACGAGACCAGCTCCATCAAATGATTATCACTTTATGAGGAAATTGATTTCAAATATCTGATATTAGACACAATGATGGTGGCCGAGTGACTGACCGGCATCCGGCACTTTCATCGTATAGATCATTTCCCCATGTGGCAGGAGATGATGCCATCCCCAGGAACCGGCTACACTAACCGATATGGCCCGACTGATAAGCTACGCCGTGTGACGTGAAGCGGTTGGCTATCCCGAACAGGTCTTGTCTTTTTCGTCTTATTTATAATCCCAATCTACCCTTTCCATATCCCCATCAGAGCATCCAATCTGCTCCCAACGGATGAAGACGTAGATCCAAAATGCGCTCTGCCGGGCTCTTATCCGTCGCCATCGGCTTTGCGGGGTTCGCAACAGCCCAGTTCCCGCCCAAGCCTGAGGGCCAGAAGATACTGCGGTCCAAGCTCCATGAGAATGTGACCATTACCTACAAGGAAGTATGTCCTATGTCCATTTATTAGTTAATGCACTGAGACGAGATGAGATGCTGACGGCTTGTCCTCAATACAGCCCAACATTTGCGAGCCCAGCTCCTCGGCACGCTCGTATGCTGGCTATGTCCATCTCCCTCCAGGTTTCCTGGATGACGTTGATGGAGAAAAGCAGGACTATCCTATAAACAAGTAAATGCCCACCAATTCAACAGTCCCAATTGCTCTGCGAAGTTCTGTCTTCTGACTTGAGCTGCCTTCTTGACAGTTTCTTCTGGTTCTTCGAGGCTCGCAACTCTCCGCAGGATGCACCCCTCGCCATCTGGCTCAATGGCGGCCCTGGAGCGAGTTCGATGATTGGACTCTTGAGCGAAAACGGCCCGTGTATCATCAATGAGGACTCTCAGACGACTCGGCCCAATCCGTGGAGTTGGAACAACCATGTGAACATGCTGTACATTGACCAGCCAAACCAAGTCGGCTTCTCCTACGACGAACCCACAAACGGCACCGCAGTTTATGATGACCAGCGCATCTACCCAGGAGTGTTTCCCGAGGGCTCCCCTGAAGGGAACTACACCCACCGACTGGGCACCTTTCCGAGCCAGAAGCCGTCTCACACGACCAACAGCACCGCCCAGGCTGCCCACGCCCTCTGGCACTTTGCCCAGACCTGGTTCACCGAGTTTCCCCATTACAAGCCGGTGGACGACAGGATCAGCCTCTGGGCCGAGAGCTATGGTGGGCACTACGGTCCTGGATTCGTACGGTTCTTCCAGGAGCAGAACGAGAAGATTGAGGATGGGACGATTGAGGATGAGAATGCGCATTACCTCCATCTTGACACGCTTGGTATCGTCAACGGCTTCATGGACTCCGTGATTCAGTCCGAATATTACATCGACTTTCCTTATAACAATGTGAGTGGGGGCTATATTCCATATCCTTGAGACCATCGACTCTCTTCAACTAGAACCAAGGTTCTGATACAACACAACCCAGACATATAACATACAGGTCTTCAACCAATCTCTCTACGACGAGCTCAAGAGCAACTGGACCACCCCCGGCGGCTGCAAAGACCAGCTCACAACCTGCCAGGACCGCCTCTCCGCATTCGACGTCAACACCGTCAACCGCGGCCACGTCCAGCCCGCCGACGTGTGCGACATCGCCCCGGAGTGCGACGACGCCGTCCCCGCGCTGTACGCCTCCCTCGACCGCGGCTGGCTCGACATCGCCAACCCGGCCGCCGAGCCCTTCCCCCCGCCTCACTTCTACGGCTACACCGTCCAGCAGCCCGTCCTCGCCGCCATCGGCTCCCCCGTCAACTTCACCTTCGACTCCCCCACCGTCGCCTCCAACTTCGCCAGCACCCGCGACGAGATCCACGGCGGCTTCCTCGACGCCATCGCCTACCTCCTCGACTCGGGCGTCGCCGTCCACATGATGTACGGCGACCGCGACTACGCCTGCAACTGGCTCGGCGGCGAGGCCGCCTCCCTCGCCGTGCCCTACTCCCGCCAGCGGAGGTTCGGCGCCGCGTCCTACGGCAACTTCTCCGTCCAGAAGGCGGGCGTGAGCGGCATCACGCGCCAGCTGGGAAACTACTCCTTCACGCGGGTCTTCCAGGCGGGCCACATGGTCCCCTCGTACACCCCCGAGGCGGCGTACGAGATCTTCATGCGGGCGACCTTCGGGCGGGACATCTCGACCGGGACGGTCCCGGTGCACGACGATCTGACCAACGAGGGGGAGGCGGTCGACAGGTGGGTTAGCAACGAGAAGCCGGGTGTTGTGGAACCGCGGTGCTACGTTCTCGCGCCTGGGACCTGCACTCCGGAGGTGTGGCGGAAGGTCAAGGAGGGGAAGGTGCTGGTCAAGGATTTCATTGTTATTGAGATATATGATGATGATGAAGATGGAAATGCCGGCTATGAAAACTACCAAAAGGAGGACGCAGCTATGGAAAATATGGAAGGAAATGATGAGCTTTAGGAGAGTTAGCCCAAAGACTCCAACCACTGACCAGCGTACTTTGACTCCTCCTCCGGGCTATAGGCCTTGTATCCAGAATATGGAATAAAGTGGTATCCTCTTGTAACCGTGCCCAGCATCATGCCTCTCATGCCCTCCCTCTCGACCTCCAAGACCGAGACTCGCCTCCGGTCCTCCCTCCAGTCCTTCATCCGATCATCGTACCGTCCCTTGACAACATCAAGCCGCGTCATGTGCAGGTCCGTCAACTTATCCAGGTAGCTCCTCACACGCGCCGTGCTGTTCCTGCTGCACGTCATCTCGCCCGCGGAGATGCTATCCGCCGCGTCCCTGATGCTCGCCTCCAGCCTCTCGAACAGCGGGCCGCACTCCTCCATGACGGCCTCCCGCTCCTCGGGGGGGAACAGGCAGACGCGGCTGAACACGGGCGCGAAGTAGTTTATGGCCTTGGTGTCGAAGAACCGCCGATCCCAGTAACTCGGGTGATCGTCTAGCAGGATCCTGCCGCGGAGCGTGTCCCGCAAGATATCAGCCGTGGCCTTGCGCTGGGCAGTTCCCCCCGTGAGCGTTTCTGGGAAAGCCGTCGGTTCGGGAGATTCGATCCTCGAGTTGGTCATGGGTGGCCTGGACAGCAGACCAAACTCTTGGGAAAACTCGAACTCGCCATCGTAAACTGGGTTCTTCTTCTTCGCTGTTAGCTTGCTAAGCCAACGGATAGGTTTCCTCAAACGATCCATTATGGGGAACGATGTGCTTCTGGTTGCAAGAAAAGTGTAAACTGTGATCTGCAAGAACGGAACAACGAGTTCTGACAGCTTTCAAGAACGATGAAAAATATGATAGGGAGAGGAATGGGAAACCCAGAGACTGGCCCGGGCTGCGGTATAAGTAGACATGCCAGAGCAGCAAGAGCCGCGCAGCTACTATCAACTCTGAAGCTAAGTCCACTCGAAAGTCTTTGTCTTTGTGAGCTCTAGTGGAAACGCATCTTGTCCTGAGGCAGCACGGAATAAGGAGAGTGTGCTGGGTGGTCAGGCTTCGGTTTCGGATCGCTGCAGTCATCTTGATATATTCGCGGCGACATTTGTCTGAAAGTGTCGAGTCCAAACCTTCGTCGATACTCTCGAAGTGTTGGATCGTTGCAGAGTTACCAGCAGATGGGTCCAAAAAAGTAGCCAGCTTGAGAATTGAGCTGGATATCGGACTCACAGTGTCAGTTGTATAGAATTGCCACACTGTCACACAGCACCATATCCAACAAAGCACGCCTGTATTTGTGGTAGACAGTTAGTTCGTGGGCTGGGTTGCAGACCTTCCTCCCATTTCCTTTTGCTTCTCCTCTCCTCCCCTCAGCTCTGGACCCCAGCCAACTTGGTCCTCCATTGGCTCCCATCATTCATTCTTGTGTACTCTTCACATCTCATGCTGCAATGGATCTGGGAGGGGGTATCCCTGCCAGCGGCTGAAAAATGGTGGACGCTAAAACGCTTTTGTATTCGATATCATAAGTATAATTTATACATTCAAGCCACCCCTTCATAATCACGCTCAATCTTGTTTTGCTTATGAATGAGGCAAAAATTCGAAAATTGTAACCAAGACCTTTTGCCAGCGGACTGTGTTGATTCAAGAAGGACGCATGCTTTGCTTTCCAACATCCCTGTGAGTGGGAGTATTACCCAATATCATCCAGTACCTCGGGGTGAATAATATATAATGGGGGCCTGAAGATGCAAGACCCATGTCGTATGTGCAGTTGGCCACCGCTCATTACCAATTCGAGAGCTTCCCCGTCCATGCCGTGCTAACGCAGTAAAGATTCCATGGTTGTCGTCCAAAAAATGTATATATGATATGTATGGTGAATGTAAATGTGAAGGAGGAACTCAGTTTGCGCCCCACACCGTCTCCAGTCTGCATGCTTTTGAGGTTTTCAACAAGCAACCCCTATCGTGGTTTTCCATCCCTTCTTCTCATGCCGGGCGTGCATGAATCGTGTTCGTATGAAATGCGCAACTCCATTTCCTGGTATCTCGAAAGCAAAGAAAAAAATGCAGAATAACCGATAAAATTATCAAATGTCCTAACCCAGAGGCTGCCGTGTGTGTGATGGGACAGCGGAATGAAGTCGTGCGATCATGAGGCCCAAAGAGCCATCTAAAAAGACAAGTAAAGACTAGGAATAGAAATCCTTTCCCTAATTGTAGGGAAGGCAAATTAATGCCGGAATACATCCAGCAGAGTAGAAGAGTGAGAGATGATTACTCAGGGTCGGGGTTCGTTGCCCTTAAGACTTTCGGTTGTTGAATCCTCCTCGAATAATCATGATCGTCTCGGAGGGTGTTGATGCTTTCGTGACTTCCTGAGCGGGCGTATAGATTCTGCTTGAAAGGATCCATACGAGGGTCAATCTGCAACGTGCTGTTTCGATTACTATTTTGCGTAGGCGACGCCGCAGATGCCCCTGTCATGCTCATCTCCGGGCGAATCGAGCTCATTCTTTCCGAGGAACTACCACGGACGCTCGGGTCGCCTTGGTAGTCAGCCTTGCTTTCGTTCTGTTTCCGGCGCCGATAAAGGAAGAATGCCAGGCCTATGCCAAACAATAGCGCAGCGACAATGCCGATGACAATCCCGGCAATTGCGCCACCTGCAAGCTTGCTTGAACTGCCAGATGATCCCTGACTGCCACCCTCTAAGTCGCCGGTGACGGTTGGCATAATAGTAACCGTCTTGATGACGCCTCCAGTATCAGTAGTAACGGTATGAATCATCGAGGTCGGCTGTGATATGGACGTTATTAGTGTTGATGAATCCGCCTGAAAATTGGTCAAGTTAGCTTGGGGTCTGCAAGATAAATTTCAGATAACAATGAAACCACTGATGAATATCCGGTGTTGCTGGCGTTGACTTGGACGTCGTGCGAATATTACATACAGTTGAGGTCCGGGAAGACGACGAAGACGACGTTGACGACGTGGTAGTGGTTGTTGTGGAGGAGGACGTCGAAGATGAGGAACTGGCCACACTGCTGGTCTGCACGAGATGAGTTTCACATTACACCTGTTACTGAAAACGAAACACAACCACACAACAACGAACGACAATAACAGGTGAGGTGACTCGGCAGCAGTTTCATACGTGGGCGATCGAGGAGTACGTAGGCGGAGAACCAGGAAAATACGAAGCGGACATGTGTCGGGCCGGGGTCATTGTGATAGAAGAGAAAAGACAACTTACACTAGTACTTGAAGCAGAGCTAGAATCACTGCTTCTGGTGCCAGAGGGGAGATGAGCGTCAAGCTCGACGTAGCCGAAAACGCCCTTGCCGCCGCACTTTTCATCGGGATAAGCAGGACAATTAATATTGCATTGGTCCATGTCAACTTGATCGGATTTCGACGGCGTGTAGTTGGAACACCAGCAATACTGTTGCTGAGTAATCGCGTAGGCATAGTCTTTCGTGCAAAAATCTTTGCAGAGTCCGTTGGTCTGGTAGATACTGATGTCTATTTTCCTCCATGTCAGCTAACTTCCAAGGAAATGACCTGGGTCGAGCCACCAAGCCATGCCAGCGGCAGGAATCCACGTACTTCTTGGAGTCTCTGCAGTGTTAAACTTGGCACAGAGATCCAGAGGGACTGAAGCAACAACGAGCTGGCTGGTGGCCAGTAGAAGGAGGCCGAAGCGGCCTAAGCCTAACCATAATGAAGAAGGCATCGTGGCCGACTATCTCAAGTTCGAATCTATTGGATATTAATTGTTAGCAAGTTATTCCTCCGTCAGTAATAAATACGACTGTCGCGATAAAGATTAAGCAAAAAATCGGGAGGCAAAGATTCCATGATAACCCAAGGGCCTAGTTTTAGGATACAGAAGATCCCAAGTAGGGAGACAGAACGACCGCTGAGAAAGTTGGGTGAGACTTACCGTCTCGGAACAAAGACCGTGTGGTTGTACAGATGGAGGCCCTTGACCAAAAGAATGGAACCAATTGATTAGGCTCGCCAGTTCACCGCATAACAAGCCGGAAGCACAAAAGGAAAAGACAGGTGCAGAAATCAAGAGACCAATGTCATATCATGCCTGCCTCAATCCGTGTATAAACAGCTCGCAGCCGGCCCACCGAATGGTCCCTCAGATGATGGACGGCAACAATCGAAGACGACGCAGACGGACAATGTATAAAATCGTAGATGCGGAAAGAGTTCGAGTTCTGTGAACGAGCTAGACAGGATACGGTGCCGGTGAAGCGCGGGAATCGGAGGAGCGGCTAATCGACAGCAGGTCGTCAATGTTGCTTGGGTATGGTAGGACGAAAGCGGGTTAAGCGTGCGAGGTGCCCAAGAGAAGAGCAAGGCAAGAGAAGCTTGTCGTGCCGAGGGTGCCGTGTCTATCTTTTTCTTGTATCCAAAAGAGAGAAGGGAAATGATTTCTTCGCAGGCCCTTTGTGTGCTCCCCGGGTCTGTCTTGACCTTTCCTCGTGTGCTGCCTCGACCGAGTACAAACACAACCTGGCAAAACAGAACAGCTGGTGTTGTAGCGTAGCGAGGAATAAAAGTTGATGTGAGAGGAGGAAATTGTGGAAGGCTGGATTGGAATGTTGCCTGTACGCAAGCGTCAACAAGCTGGAGCCAGCAGCGGGATGCAAGGACAGCGAGGGAAGCAGTATGTAGAAGGCGTATCCACGCCAAAACTGAAGGCAATCACACCAGCGAGAGTGAAAATGGGGGTTGGTCTTAGCCGACCCGTTTAGGTTGAAGAGGAGGGGGGGTGGGTGTGTGTGGAGAGAATGGTGGATGATGGGAAACGAGAAGGCCCTGTCTTTCGGGAGAAGCAGCCAGTGGCCGAGAGCCCCAGCAGCAGGTAACAGGTAAAGTAGCAGGTACTAGGTAGCCTGCTAGTATCGTATAAAGAGCGGCAGCAGCGAGAGATACGAGCGCGCGGACCACAAGGAAGGGCAGCCAAGCCAGGCGAAGGCACGAAGAAGCGAACGAGTGAAAAGCTGGCCGAGAAGAAAGAAAGGAAACAAAGAAGCGCAAGATCCACCGGCGACGGGCTTGGAATGAACATGAACAGCTTCCGGATAGCCAGATAAATGAACTGAGGAAGGGAGGCCAAGAGTCCTAAAAAAAACTACAAACACGGCGAAATGATGGATGACGCTGAAGGTGGGTAACTGTGGATGCGGGACAATTACTGGCGGTACGTACCAGGTACTTCGCACTTCCTAGAACCCGCAAACGAGGCAGTCGCCGCTGAACGCTCTTGCTGTCTGCGCCTGCCTGTGGGCTCGACTGGGCCGTGACTTCCATTGCAGTGCACGGCAAGCGGGATGTGATCAGTGAAGGAGCATGGACAGGGCTGGTAATATGGGGTACACCTAGAGCCTGGAGGCCTGCACGTACAGCGACTCGGCCGCCAACCACCAGTAACCACCTCATCACCATCCCAGCCGATGATGCTCGAGTCAACATCCATCGTCAAGCTAGGTACCTCGAGTAAGAGCTAAGGCAGTCCTCCAGCTGCTCCAGCTGTCGGTTCCCTCGAGACAGCTGTGCCAAAGTTTATTATTCACCTCACGGCTGCAGCTTCGCGGTGGAGTCCAGCCAGCTGCACCGACGCAAGCTGGGAAGCGCCTCGGCCTATCCTAGATGTGCAGTTATGCTGCAAACCTGCTTCTGTATGTGAAGTCTACTATTGAATATGCTCTGTGCGCTCTGATAGCAAGCCGGCCACGGACCTCCAGCTCCTCCAGTGCAACGGTTGTCCGTGGCAGGGCACGGGCGGCATGGCCACCTGAATACCTACAGGATAACCATCGTTCACTCTGGCGACTTGTCTCCCTGATCCCCGCACCCCCCCTGCTTCCTTGGCCTTGCCCTGCTAACCTGCTAGCCTTGGGTCAATGGTCCTTATCCCCTGCGCCGTGCAGGCAAGCTGTCGTCACTGGGTCTCTGGGTGGGTGTGGAGAGAATGGCGGGCCCCTGTTTTAACCACACCAGAGCTCAGCTCTCGTAGCAGCGCTAGCATCAATTATACGGACCTGGAAGCGCGAGATCGCAGCTTGGTAATCGGCATGTTGCTAGCCAGCATTGCATTACAGCCAGAATCGCAATCCGGTGATGAGCATTCTGGTTGCCCAAAGAGACGGACTCTCCATCGAAACCCACACGCGCACGGCTGGGCTGGCATGCTTAGTTCCCACAAGAATTGAGTTTTCCTTTTGCTCCAATCATGCCAGGCCCCAGTCATTTGGACCAACTTTTCAAGGGGAAGAAGATAATGGGAAAGGGAAGAGTCAAGACAAGAGGGAAAGATGGAGCTTTGAATATCAGCCGCCACCGTGCATGCTGGCGGGCTGCTCGGTGTTTTGTCTCCCTGCACAGCGGCATATCGGCTCCATGGCCAGACTTCCTATCTGGGAATCAGATCATCGCCGTCGTCAATGTCACAGTCACAGTCGCAAGGACAGTCACGAAGGCTGGCAGATCCGATAAGAGAAGGGAAAGGCCGTCTGCTGGTCCTCATCAAAATCCATTGCGCTACCTGCGGAGTAAGTTCCAACCACAATGCCTGTTTGAGCTAATCTACCCCTCCATCACGCACAGTAAACACATGTTACAACCAGGGCTGCTCATTGCAACGATTTGTAGCTAGCTGGCAGCGATCCCGCATCCAGCCTGGGTTCACAAGCTCATTTTCTATACGAGCAGCACTCTGTCCCGATCGAAGAAAAGGTTAATCTCGATAGCACCGAATCCTATCCTAGCTCACAACTCCAATTGCCAAGTTGCCATCGGGAATCGGGTATAAAATTGGCCACACACACTCACGGACACACACACCCAAGGTACCATCGCAACCAACAAGCCATCCAATTTTGCCCGCGCCGGCGGCACAGCTTGGCTTGGTTGGGTTTGGTTCTCCCAGATCCCGCAACCCAACACGAGCTAGGCTTAGAATGTGTTTGGCGCCAGTTCGTCTCAAGAGGGAGAAAAAAAGCCATGGGATCGCGCCAGCTGGGATCATGGATGATGCATTTTGTGCAGCTGGAGGAATTGCTGAGGATCTGCCCAAGGCGTGCCCGTGGGTAAGTGCACGGCTCCTTTTCCCTTGATGAGAATATTAAAATGTGTATTTCGGGCTACGGACTGTCGCTGGAGTTATTTACCGTGCCGCCCGCAGTCCTCCAATCTTGCCGTCGCTCGCTTAAGTATCAGGTTTGTTATGGCCTGATGCAGAACAATGTTTTTCCATCATCTCATTCCTGGAATTCATGCTCCTACTAATTGCGATGCCCGCTTCCCGCCAGCACGGAGTAGGTATGGGCATATTCCTGCTAGTGCGTGGGTGGGGAGCTACAGAGCAATAGTCCAGCCCAGTAGCATGCAAATGCAATCTCCTCATTCATCAGTTGAAATGGTGTCTTCAACGGTCGACCTGCTGCGCGTGCTGCCTCAGTCCAACACAGTCTAGGCCCCTCCTTAACGACGAGAGCGGTTATCGTGACTTACTTACAACGACGCCACTAATACCTCCACTACACCTTTTGGTCGCGTCGCGGCCAGAGTGCGGATTCCTATGACCAACAGCTAGCTATCGCCGTATCGGCCGAGGCACCGGAGGCAGGCATACTGACGGCGTGCTTTGGCGATATGATACATACATATGCACATGTCAGCCTGCATGAGCCAAAAGAAAGCGTGTCATGGAGTTATGCAGCACATGATTGATGGGTATAACGTATGGATGTGCAGGAATAGTTTACTAGAAACCCAACTATTGTCAAAGCTTATGTATACCCAAAGTGTATGAAGCAGACCAAGCAAAAAAGACGCTCATCGATGATGATAGCACCACTGCCGAACCATCCAGGGAACATCACGGAACGAAGCAAAGCAACTCAATCCAATCAAGGCCAAATCAACGTGGTACAGTAGCAACCCGCACATGTCTCACCCTGAGCCCGGTGCGATTGGCGAGCTTAACCCTCGCACTCCCACCCGCTTGCAAGCTGGCCCCCATCCTGCCGGAATTATCTGGCCATACCTATGCAGAGCCGGCACCTCGCGTACGGGGCGACAAAGAACCCTTCTTCAGTGTGCTACGTCGCGGGCATGTCGATCAGGCATTGACGGCGCGGTCGAGCGCAGCTCCTAATTTAACGGACGGAAAACCCCTTTCCCACGCCACACAAAGGAAAATCACAATAATCCAGGCACACACCGCTTGCCTCAGCCGGCTGGGTCCATCTCTACCCCGAAACGACCCGCCAAGGGGTCGGGCGTGCCTTGCGTGAGGAAGTGGGAGTAGGAGCAACACGACGATTAGCATGAATCCCGATCCGATCACAGGCCGCTGGGTCTTGGCCACGTAGTTGTACTATACATGGCTGGATATATGAGCACCAGGACCGGAGTCATGCCATTGCCATGTGCGCCTGAAGGAAGAAGCTACAGCCCTGAGGAGTATTCAGACTGAGTCAGGTCTACTCCGTACACAATGCGTACCGCAATTTAAGAAAAAGAAAACGCATCTTGGCTACCCGCCCGGCCGACCCGAGAGACGCGTCTGCGGTCTTTGTTGGTATGAATACTGGGCCTCAATCTACACCTAAGGTATGTAATTACAGGCTGATCAGATCAGGCCAGGCTGAAATCCTGCCACGAGGACGGGTTCCATTCATGGGAAAGGCGGGATCTTTGTTTCTCGGGGCACGAAATTCCTTTTCCTCCCCAAGCCCAGATTCGCTCGCTTTCGCTCCTCCCCTGAGTCTCTGACACGGTGCCTGTGCATCGGTGCAAATCTTTACCCGCGATGCCAAGAAGGCGCGTCCAAGATCCATACGACGATCCACCAGTCACCAGCAGGACCAGGGTGTTGACAGTAATCTAGCCTAGGAGTCAATGGAGCTCGCTCTGATCCACGTGCCCGTCGGTCAGTTTCGCGAAGCCTTACCGCGCAAAATCGAAGCTAAGCTCAGGTCCACGATGCCACTTGAATGCGTCTCACCTTAGCCTGGCTCCTTCGTCGGCGCTAGCAGCGCGAGTCGCTCGAAAAGACGGGATCTTCGTCAGTGAATGAGTTTCGTGCTGATGTTCTTCATCGCTCGATCGAGCGATGATCCCTCCGCGACTGGCCGTCTGGTCGGATGGGGCACACGACAGGTCCGGACTGGAATGCACCAAACCTGCTTGTCCCAGGTTACACTAGTACGGGAGAGACACAGCTGTTCACTTGCGATTGGCGCGACGATTGAAGCATGTATACATGCTTGTTGTTAGCATTTTCACTCCGGCACCAAATCCCCGGCGGGAATCCAAGTCATCGCCTCTTGGATGGCAGATGGTCTTGACAGGCCTCCTTTGCATACAGTTGGCCGCCCTGATGCACGTTCAGTCCGTGTGATCAAAGAAGTACCCAGATGATCCGTCTCAGTTTGGGCCAAGACATACAGCCAACTGATCCCCGGCTCACGGCCCCAGCGAGCACCTGGCATCTCAACTGAAGCTCGTACATCATCACACCCTCTTGTGGCTCCAGCATGGAACAGACACTCGAAGACATGCACAGGACCAGCACGCAGCCTTCGTCCCAAGTCGGCACTCACACCTTGAGGCTCTGCTGATGTGCTCCTGACTTGTGGATCAAGCCCTGTGTGATGCAGTGCTGGAACCAACCATTTACCGCCCTAAGCGAAGGCCTCACATCTGACTCTGTACAGCCAATGAAAGTATCGAAGTGAGTGATCTGTAAAATACTCGAAATGCTCTCCGGCTCACGGTACGCCGCCAGAGCCGTGGAAAGATAGCAGAGACTTGACCAAGCCGCTCAATGATTTCGCCAGCGGTCGCGACATGAGGACGAAATATTCAATACAGAACCTCAACTCACAATGGGACACCGGGCTTTGCTCCCTACTCTGCTTCCTGCACATGCTATGCGGATGTCCGTTTTTCAACACCTCCGATTGCTAAGGCCGGTCTCATCAAACTTATCATGGCGCCGCCCCTTTTTCCTACAGAGCGGCGCCCACCTCCTCGGCGGTCTTGTGTGGCATCTCTAATCGCGAGGGAAGGAAAACCCCCACATGATGCCGGCCAAAATAGTTAGCCGTCAAGCTATGTTGTATCCGCTCGTATCCTATCTACCAAAACCCGATACGACGCATGTGTGTATGATCCGGGTCGCGGGACCCTCTGCGAGACAGTCCCAGGCCAATATCACCCGACTTGTAAGCACGCTTCTCGATAATTCGAAGCCATCGACAGCTTTCCCGTTGCTTTAGCCTGTCGAGCGAACATTGGGCCAACCCCCACAAGGCGGTCCCCCACTCCCAAAAGGCTTCACTAGGTGCATCATGGGATCGCAATTGAGGTTGATACGAGGCTCTGTAGATATGTATGTGCCCTCCCGCTTGGCCCGGAACTGAAGTCCCAAGAAGACCCTTGATTTTCATGTAGATGATTATTATTTTCCTAATATTTTTCCCCCTCCTTGCAGCCATCTGATATGCCGGACGTGGTATGTCATTGCCAAGCTCGTCCAGCATGGCGCTGACGTCCAAGGCATCCCCGTATTGCAACTTCGTATCCACCTCTGCTGCCACCACCCATCCGCCCAGTAGGGACAAGAAGCAGGGAAGAGCGAGACAAGAACCAAGAAAGTAGAAAGCTACGGTGTGTCGATAAGGTCCTAAGAGGGGCGCAAATGGCGGGATGAGGTGGTTGGACTCCCTCGGGATGGAGAATTGAGAATCTGCAGATGCCCATCCCAGCCCTTTGCATGCAGGCCGCTCACGCCATAGTGAGGAAACATGAATTCTCAAGCCGCAACCCGGCCACCTCCTTCAATTTTTCCCCACCCCGATGATGTGCGTGGTGCATCTCTCGCTTGGCGACCCTGCGAACCCCTCAGATAGAGGCGAGATAGAGCACACACTCGGCCACGGGCATCGTATTGCCCCTCCCCCTCCGGCCAGGTTCCATCGTCGTGTAGAAACACTCCATCTTGTGTGCTGAGGAAGCTGCAGCGTAGCGTGCATGGGTGAGTGGGTTACTGTTTCTGGTCCGGGTCTGTCAACATCCACCCACGGACCTCGCCTCTTTGTGCTTGGCCTGCCGGTCCGGGGGATGGTTCACCGCTGGGCTGGGTGGCACGGCCATGCCGGATTCAAGAGAACGACCGCGCTTATCTGCGGTGGCCTCATGTGCATATGCAGGCTTTGTCCGGCCCCTCCACCGTCATGGTGGCAGACGCCAGTGAGAGATGTCATAGGTGGTGTTGAGATGCATACCCATGTGCTTGGAGTCTGTTCTCTGGTTGCGATAATGGTAGCTGCAAGCAGCGCTACTGGCGATCTCTCGCCATCTTGAATCCTAGTTATTCTAATTGGTACCAACATTGCACCTTAGATATAGATTGTAAGTACATGAAGCAACCGTATCTGCTTGCCACCCATAATTCTGATAACCGGACGGGCTTTCGTTCTGATTCAATGACAGTGCATAGTAAAGTAATGGGCAATCTCTAAACGGACATTTAACCATGCTCCGTTTAGGCTAATTAATCCAACCTACTACACAACAAGATAAGGTCGGGTTAACATATCAATTCACCCGTTAAAGAATTTTTATACTAGGTAGGTTTATTTACAATGTCAATCACTAGTAGTATGCAAGCTAGCTTCAAGTCATGACTTTAATATCACTCCCCGGAATCTTTCGAACTTCAATTCTTGAGCCATCGAATTCCAGGGGGTAAATTGATGTTGGCCAATTAACTTACAAAAGCAGGGCCAGGCCTGTAGAAACAAAGAAGCACCGCCAGTGCCGAGCAGTAAAAAGACACATCAGGCGTCTTACCCTTCACCATAACGATCACTCTGTCTAGTATGTCATTAAGAACAATAATCGTTACTTGGATGGGAAAGGAATTCGGCAGCCACTAGACTTGCTAAGAGCCGGGAGTCCAGCAGCTTCAACGCCACCAATGCAACATGAGAAGACACGGGTGGCGAAATACCTGTGGCTTGTCTGCTCATAAGTAGGCAAGTAGGATAGACCCTGATAACGATACACGTATATTATGTGTCTTGCTGGGGGCTGATGGCTTCGATGTCAGAGCTATAACAATTATCGATGGGCTGAGAACCTCCAATGGCCGGGGACGTGGCGTAAAGAAGCAAAAGCATTCGATGATCCCTTGTTGATGTGATGCCAAGACCGACGCTCTCAGCCGCGGCTGGGCCCTGGACCTGATCAGAGAGCAAGGCTCTGTGAGCAGACATATTCATACTCACAGGATGTATCGCCCACATTGATCACAAGATAGGTTTCAGTTTGCTAGAGTTGTCCGCTGGCCAATATTACTTATGCAAGGAAGTCAGGCTGATCCTTTGATATGAAGTGGCCTGCTTCCCCCTTTATCGTACCCTCTAATGTCTGCGATATCCGGCTGGCTGACCTATTCATCTATCTGCGCCATGCTATTCACCAAGACGTACTTACAGATGCATTTCCAGAGGTCGGTTCTTATTTACCCGGCAATTGAATCGCAAAGTCAATTCGGGATTTCAGGTACGCCTGATTCCACGGGCTCATAAATCCTCACATGTCATCATGGCGCCGGAAGCTGAACACGTTGTGGCGCTCCCACCACACCACCTTTTGCGGCGAGCTGAAGGAAATTCCAATCACACCGCTGACCAAACCATAGTTCGCGGACCATATTGCTTCCCTTGGGCTAGTCGGTGAGGTTTCTTGGATCCCGGTATAGCTGAATCGTGAAATCCATCCGTTCTGAGCTTGGGGGAATAGGGCCTGGTGCCTATCTACCTCACGGTAGACTGGGATATTCACAATCCAACAAGGCTGCATCTTGTATTCTTAGCAATGTAACCATATGCAACCATAAATCGACATTAAGAGGTTGCCGCGTGAAGGGTTGAGAAAGCAAATCCGCATAAAAAAAGGTATAAGAAGCACAAGGGCGGGAACTATTGCTGAGATATGCAAGGCCAGCAAGCCTCAAGCCACCGACTGCTTCCATCAGCCCATTTTTCCAAAGCCATGTCTGCCTGTCCTCCAATCCAAACCGAGAGCATCCCCTTGGAGGACCAAGCTATTGCCGCAGCTGGTTCCACGGACACGCTGAATGGACGCCCACCGAGCCCGCCCACGCAGGAACAAGCACCATCGATCCGATGGCGGGATCTGAAGCGCAAGCTACGCCCGCTCCGAGGCGTAATCTTCGCCTGGGCAGCCTTTTCAGTGTTCTCTGTCATCTTCTCCGCATTTGTTGTATACGTCCTGCTGCGTGGCCACGTCCGGGTCGGTGGTGTCACCTTTGACGCCTCGACCTCGAACCTGCTGGTCTCCATATTCTCGCAGATATCGGTTATTCTCGGAGATGCCCTGATCCGGGATCTTCTAGGCGTGATACGCCTTGCTCTTGCGAAGCGAAATAGGGGCGTCTCGGCCTTGACGTACTTTGTTATCGGTCCCGCCTCGGCGTGGACCGAGGCGGCCAGGCATGCCGTCTTGACGAAGTTCTACAGGTTGAACCTCTGGTGTGATTTTAGGTTAGTTTACTTCCATATAGCCATCGAGAAAACCCAACTATTTAGAAGTTCCACGGTGTGAAACTGAACATGTATGAAGGGTCGTGCTTCCGATCATAGGTCTCGCTCTAGGCTCAGTGATAAAATGTAAGAAACCAGCTCCGACTATAGATAACTCTAAAGTAAAGAGATCCCATCTCATTCGATGCCAGTTCAGGCCCAATTTGACTATCACTTTGCCCCGACCAACACCAACATGACCGTCTACGCTGGGCTGATCCCCATCCGGATCCTGGTTCTCGACTCGCCGTTCTTGACCACTGCAGACCTAAGCATGTATTTCTACTCTCTCACGAACAGTCTTCTCCTTGACTCTCGCTACGCAATCCAGCATCGGTTCCCCGGGTGCTCCCAGGAAGGTTGCAGATCGATCCTGCTACCAGGGGGTTTGGAAACAGCCCGGCGATACGATCCCCTATTAAAGCATACAGTCTTTGAAGGCGGCATGTTCGACGGTGCGGACTCAATCCAGATTGAGCACGCTCCAGGTATGCTGGCCACGTTCGAAAGGCTGCCGGCAGACTTCAGCTTCGACCCGGCTGGGTGTACGTATGCCGGGGAGCGGATCAACAACACGCTGGTGATGTGTGCCCAGCAACTAGGCCAGTCACTAGCTGTAGGTACGTTGGATATCCTCCGCTCTTCATCTTTCCTGTACCAGGAGTGAAGGAGTATTCCCATAGCCGTTAAGTAACTGTTATGTCCAAGGCTGGGCTGCATGTCCCATCAAGGAATATTCGGCCCGTGACTGCAGCCCCGAAGTGACGTGGACCTCGGGTCCCATCCAGTACAGCACAAATGTCTCCGTCTTTGAGCAGTACACGCGGACTACGTACAACCGCAACAACTTCTCGATAGTCAACACCGAGCTGACCTCCCCCGTCGGCGAGTCCCAGATAGCCCTGAAGGAGGACGAGTATCGCAGGATATTCCGCAAGGTGCTCAACGCCAACACGACGAGGCGGTCGGATCTCAGCAACATGGACGCGCTTGTCCACTCCATCACATGGCTGCACAGGACCTACGATAACAGCTTTCCCGACGACCAGCAGAGCGTCCTGAAGAGCCTCCACAACTTTATCGGCGTTTCTTTGCAATTCATGGTAACGGCGGTCCAGTTTGCGAACTATACCGTTGACGCTAGGGGTGATACCGACACTTTGGCACTGCCGGACAGGATGGTCACCTCAGCCGTGAGCGGCCGGTCCATGCAGAAACTCACCATCCAGCACTGGACAGGAGTCATCTTCATCGTTACCGAGGGGCTCATCATCGTGTTTGCCGCACTGGCCATCCTCCTGGTCCTGTTAGGCGTGGATCGCCTCCCGGACAGGTCATCAACCGCAGAGATCGACATCCTCAGGAACACGGACGACATGCGGGCAGCCCCGCAACGGCATATACGGCGCTGGGGCTGGTGGCCGTTTCGGAGAGCAGGAAATGGAGTTGAGCCTGGTGTGCCGCACCTGGAAGAAAGGGAACGTTTCCTCGATATGGCCCAGACCTTGGCGCTGAATGAGCCGTCCCCAACTCAGCCCAGGTCATTGTGGGGTCGGCTTCGTCGTGTTTTCAGGGATACGATGGATAAAGAACGCGATTTGCTCCAATGGGTGGTCTTTTTGCCTGATACTCCAGATGTAGAGACTGAAGTAGGGGAGGTGGAGGAGAGTAGTGAAATGGTCGAGGACCAAGCTGTCTCAACCTCATCCAACGGAGGAGAGATGATTCTGTCAACATGATTCTAATTAGTTTTAACTTATCCATACATGAATGTGGCCTTAATATAATTTAATAGTTTATACCTAATTTGGGATTATATCCCAGATAGAAGGCAAATCAGTGGCGTATGTAGGTAGGTGTAAGTACAGATATAGGGTAGCTTGAATAAGCTGGGGAGAGCCTGGGCGCCCGATTACATCATAGGCAAGGTACGATAACGATATGCTCGTCAACAGCTTCGTGGATGAACGGCTGAGGAGGTCATGGCTCTAATTCTGATTTTCCGCGTGCCTTGTAGATTGATGAATTGTACTTCGTGGATAGTCTGATTAGTTGATTGATAGGTTTGCCCGTTTCACATGTGATAGTCGATTGCTATGATTAATGGCTACTTTCCCCCACCATTTGCAAAAAGCTCGCTTCTACTCTACATCATCGCCTCGTAGTCGACCCGGGCCCTCCGGCCAGCGTCTCCCACCCCCAGACCCAATATCATATCTACTAGAGATTGATTGATCCTCCCATTCGAGCAGCCTGCAAGCCCTCGCCATGCCTAAGTTGATCGATTCCCTCCCGAAGCCTCCCTGGCGCCAGGGGTCGTTTCGGCTCCGTCGCCTGCCCATCATGCTCGCGGTATCGAGCATCTTCGCCATGGTGCTGTTCTACGTCCTCATCTCCATGTCGCCTTGCATGGTAGGCTCCCAGCGATGTTACAAAGGATACACATCCGCATACAGCTTCGACGCCTACCACGCCCACCACCCGAGATGGATGACCGCGATCCCCGACGACGTCAACCTCACCTCCCTCAGCATCCCCGGCACCCACGATACGATGACATACGGCATGCCCGAAAACGAACATCTCCAGTGCCAGATCTGGAACCTAGCTACCCAGCTGAACGCTGGCCTACGATACTTTGACATCCGCGCGAGGCTGCAGGACGACGAGCTCAAGATATACCACTCCAGCGGCTTCACGGGCTTCGGTTACACCGACGTCCTGGTCGCCATGTTTGATTTCCTCGACGAGAATCCTGGCGAGACCATCATAATGCGGCTCAAGGAGGAAGGCGTGCCCATCGGAGACCACAACACCATCTCCTTCGAGGACGCTCTGGTCAAACACCACGAGTCCTCCCCCATCACCTCGCCCGGTGCATCCAAGCACTTGTACCACTACAACCAGACCGATCCCCTCCCGAACCTCGGCGCCCTCCGCTCGCGCATCTTCCTCCTGCAGAATTTCGACTCCAAAGACCAGCAGACGAGCCCTTACGGGCTCATATGGGAGGGCCCCCAGATGGCCCTGGAAGATCTATGGATCATCCCCGACATCCACCACCTCGTGGACAAGTGGAACGCCATCCGCAGCGCCCTCGAGGCCGCCGCCCGAGCGCCCCTCAACAACACCCTCCTGTACCTGGCGCACATCTCAGCCTCGGTGGGCGTGCTCCCCATCGAGGCCGCCGCAGGGCCGAAGAACAAGGCGGTTGTGGGCATGAACGACCTGACGGGGCAGTGGCTTAGAGATTTCTCTGCTCACAGGGATGCTTCTGCCAGGACGGGTGTTGTCATTATCGACTTCCCTGGGAAGAAGCTGATTGATGCCGTGCTGAGGTGGAATGAGCCCTTGACGAAATAATCGGATAATTGGGATCTTTCCTCTCTCGATATCCAATCGATACACACGAGAGAAGACCATGATGAGCCCATTGTATCATCCTCCTTCAGTTGTATATATTCACACAAGTACATAGACAAACGCCCCCTGTAACTATAGGTATATTCTTGGATAGAAATGTAATCACGTTGAAATCAACAATCCATATTGTCAATCAGACTTTCACAATAAATAGCTATATAAGATATATCTATACATATTGTATCCAACTTCCCTGGCCCTATACGATCCAGTACTCGCCCCCTCTCCCTCTCTCCTCGTATAAAATAAACAAGTCCATATAACCAGAGCTGGTCTTTCCCAGGTAAAACTCCCTATTGCTCCCCCATTTCCCAAAGTAAATAAACAAGAATAAAAAATCAGAAACATTTCTCTCCAGTCGCCACTGAAGAAAGGTATCCCATATATCCGTCAGCTTCCCAACCTGAGCCGGGCACTTTCATACACGCATATCGCTTTTTACATACATCCTCCCCGGACACTACTCCCGGTTCTGCCGGCTGGGACTCGGGCTCGACCGCGGGCTGTTATGTACGCTGTTGGCGCTCTCGATGCTCTCCACCATGCGGAGCACTCTGGACCGCGGCTTCTCCGGCGTCCCCTCGGGGGTGGTGATGTCCGGGCTGTGGTGGAGGATCCTGTGCTGCGGCGGCTTCTCCATCCTCACCTCCTCGGCCGTTGCCAGTATCGGACTCCCAGGCCCCATGGTCGAGTGGCTCCTCCGCCTGTCGTCCACTTCGACGGGGCTCAGCAGCGATGGACTAAGTAGCGATGGACTCAGCAGTGACGGGCTCAGCAGTGACACCTCTTGCCTGTCATCTACCTCGGCGTCGCTGGGACTCAGCAACGACACCTCCTGCTCATGCTCCTCCGCCTCCCTCTCCGCGCTACCCATGTCGATGCCCACGCCCCCGTCCTCGGTGTGGTAGCTCTTGCGGCTGGCGCTGTCCATCTTCACGCCGCCGTCCTCCGTGGCGTAGCTGCGCCGCTTGCTGCTGGCATTGTCGAACTTGACACCGCCGTCCTCGGTCGCGTAGCTCCGCCGCTTGCTGCTGGCATTGTCCATCCTCACGCCGCCGTCCTCCGTCATGTAGCTGCGGCGGTGGCTGCTGCTCGCGTTATCCATCCTCACGCCGCCGTCGTAGCTCCGCCGGATACTACTACTGTTATCCCGCGGCGCAGGCGCAATAGGATGCCCGGCACCTACACCACCCAGATCCGACTCGGCCGTCACCGCCCGCCGCAGGCTATCCCCCTCCCCTTCGCCCTCCGGGTCGACCAGCTCCGCCGTCTGCGCCATCTCCTCGTCGACGGGGTTCTCCTCGTCCCCGTTGACAACTCGCAGCCGCTCCTTGGGCACCGTGAACATGACCTGCACGAGCCGCTGCTCCACCGCCCGCTCAATGTCCCACTGGTCCTCCTCCCCGCTGTCGTGCTCCCAGTCGCGCCGGCCCTGCTTCCGCCTAAGGAGCTCGCCGTTGAGCCCGACCAGGAGCCGCGACGGCACCTCCATGTCCCCGCTGCTGTGCTGGTCCCACGAGTGCGGGCTCTGCGCGTACTCGCGCGACTCCGTCGACGACGGCGTCACGCTGCGGCCCGACGTCGAGAAGACGCGCCTCAGCGAGCCCAGCCACCCCCGCCGCGGCTTCGACTTGGAGGGGGACCCGGGCATCTGCACGTCCTCGGCGAGGGCCCGGGCGTCCAGCTCCTCGTCGGTCGGGCCCGTGCCGCCCAGCAGCAAGCTGGGACCCTCCTGCTGCAGCGCGTTGAACGACGACTTGGCCGTGTTGTAGCTGCTGCTCGACGAGCTGCCCGGCTTGTTCTCCAGGGCGGGGATGCCGGCCATGGCGTTGGCCACGTTGGCGCGCCGCGCCGCGCTGCGGTTGGATACCTCTGACAGGCCGGAGCCGATAATAGATTCGTCGTCGCGGGGTCCGGTCGAGCGGTAGGATGCCCGGCGCGTGGGCGAGACCTTGCCGCGGGTGCTATTGATTCTATCAAGCAGGCCCTCTGCAGCGTCGACCTCGGACACCCAGTCCTGGACTTCTGAATCATATCGCCGCACGCTCTCGGGGCTTATCGCGCCGCTGTTGGGTCTGCTGAAGAGAGGCGCCGGGACCGGGTTGATCGGGGTTATAAAGGGGTCGGACGGCACGTCCGAGGTGGGTGTATGGGGGATGTCGTCGGCCGCCTTGGCAACGTGTACGTGATGCAGATGCTCGTCCTCGTCGTCTTCCAGGATGGGATGGATGCCTCCGGGCCCGTTGACGAACTGGTTGTACAGTCCTCTCGACTGTCGGGGCAAGGGTTTCCGGACGATGGAGGGGACGCCCATCATGTACCCGGCGCCGTAGTCCTGCGGCGAGCCGCTTCCCTGGGATCCTCGCAGGCTCTCGTACCCGAGAGATCGATCCTGCTGGCCGGGTGGGCGGTAGGCCTGGTCCAAGGCACCGGATGCGAACCACCCGCCGCGTCCCCATGTCGCAAAGAAGTCGTCTCGTTCCGCCATCTCATCATCACCGTCGTGTATAAAGTTCTTTGAATCCTGCACTAGAGCAGCAACAGCCGCGTCGCGAGACTTGCGGTTCTTGGACTTCCAGATACAGAACACAATCATGGAGAGTATCAGTAGCAAACCTAGCCCAAGTCCTAGTCCAAGTCCCAGTCCCAATCTCATCGGCGTCGAAGAGTCGGTGCTCCCGTTGGGCGCATCTGGACTCCCAGAGCCGCTGCTCGCCGCCGGGTTCGCATAAGTCGTAGCCCAGGTCATATCCGTCAAGTTCAGATATCTCGGCGAGGACAGCCCCGCCGCCTGCCTCTTCGCCTTCCTGCTCGACGACGAGGACCCAATCCCTCGCCCGCCGTAGACTACCATGACGTTGCCCGGGAGCACCGCAGCACCGTGCCCGTACACGGCGCCAAAGTCCGGCTGCTGGGTCGGGATCTTCCACCTCCACCCGCTGTACGCCTGGCTCATCTCCAGCACGGCGAGCTGCGGATCCGCGGCGGTGTTCACGTCGCCGACCCAGCCCCCGAGAACGGTGATGGACTTGCCGTCCTCGTTGAGGACGGCCGTGTGCCCGCTCCGTGGCGTGACCTCGGTGCTGGCACGCTCGTAGATGGCCGAGAGCTCCGTGGGGCCCTCGACCTTTGGCGCCTGGATGTTGATGTACGTCCAGGACTCGTCGGGGAGGCCCCAGAGCACGGCGTTGCTCATGTTGATAAAGGCCGTGCCCGTGTGGCCCCCGAGGAGCACCCACCTGGCCTGCTGCGTGATGGTCCCCGACACGTTCGCCAGGCTGTGCGGCAGCTGCGTCTTCGTGAACCCGGCCATGGG